TAACCTTAGAACAGCGACCTGTTTGCTGCTCAAGCTAATGCTAGCTGTGAATCTAATGTGAGAGGGGATCACCCAGACAACGGGTGTTATATGTCTCTGGCTCTGATCGTTTTCACGGGTTATTGAGGTTTACCTGTTGCGGGTGGACAGGACCCCCAGGGACGGAGTAATGTTCCCCAGACAGTAGATCACCTTGTTTGACTTGAGCAGGGCCATGGTTGAGCTGCGGCAGGGAGCAGAGCCTTAGAGGATGTAGACGGATGTGAAGGGCAGGCAGCACAACTTCTTCTTCTTCTCTCGGTTTTTGGCGGATTGCAAACAACTTTAAAGGTGCATACCGCCACCTACTGTACATGAGTGTGAATCATTTCATTTCATTTCAAACCTTTATTTAGACAGATAGGTCCCTTGAGATCACGGATCTCTTTTACAAGGGAGACCTGCATCAATTTAGTTCCACATGAAACATAAAAACAACATAAAAACAAACAATAGGGATCATCATATCATTCCATCTCTTCTTCTTCTTCTCTCGGTTTTTGGCGGATTGCAAACAACTTTAAAGGGGCATACCGCCACCTACTGTACATGAGTATGAATCATCATACCATTCCATCTCTTAACCTATGATCTAATCAAACAATACAAATAAATAAATCAACAAAAAACATGAAATAAATAAAACTAAAATAAAAATCTATGATCTTTCCTGACCTAATGTTAAATTATTGTTCCTACCCCAGTTTCCCTCAGGAAGGTAAACAGTGACTTTCTGGTAGCTCTTACTCCCTCTCCTTTTGTTCCCAAAATACCAACCACACTCCATTCCCTCTCTGCCTCTAAAACTTTAGCCTTTAGTTGTTCTCTTTCAGCTTTATAGATGTTACAATGTAACAAGACATGTTCCACAATTTCTTTAACTCCACAGTTCCTACACTTGTCACTGTTACTTTTCCCCATGACATCAGCATACTATTCAATGCTGTGTGATTCAGTCTGAGTCTTGCTATCATGATTTCCTCCCTTCTGTTTCTTTCTTTATAAATATGAATTGTAATTGTTTTTTGTACTTTATGATACTCGTTGCCTTTCTGGTCTTTCTCCCACCTTTTCTGCCAGATCTCCATCCCCTTTTTTCTTAATTTCTGCTTTTCCTTCTCCTTTTCCAAGTCAAACTGGTAATGTTATTTCCTTCTGTAGTGCACTTTTTGCTAATTTATCAGCACACTCGTTCCCTTTCACCCCCTCACGTGCAGGCACCCAGCAGAACTGCAGATCTATACCGCCTCTGTGAAGTCTTAACAGGCTATGATTAAGTTCTATGAGAACGTCAGAGCGTCAACCTCTATTATTTTTGTATTTCTTTGTATTCCACTCATGGCAATTATTATAAAACAAAACATGTACACTTTAAGCAGTTTTTTGCTGCTATTATTTAACTGAATGAGTCCATTAAACATTTGTTTTAATAATTGGTTTCCAGTATGGTTGTTTGTATCTGAAAAATACACGTTGAGGTTGCAAAACAGATCAGTAACGTAGATTAACTTGTACTGTACTTATTATATATTTTGAGGTACTTCAATGTTACTTGTGTACTTCAATTGTTTGCTACTTTGTACTTATACCCAGTTTAGGGGTACATCGTGTACTTGAACTCCACTACATTAATACCTTTAGTTACTTTGCAGATTTGGATTAAAAATGTGATTTTATAATCAATAGCTAAATCAATACTTAAATAATATAGGCTACTTTTAAAAAAGGCAGTGGGGACTAAATTGGCCATTTAAAAAAGTGGTGGGGACATCCCCAGCACTAATGACGCCTATGATAATGAGTAGCATACTTTTACTTTTGGTAATTTAATTTAAGTATATTTTGAAGCTAATACTTTTCTACTTTTCCTATAGTAAGATTATGAATGCTGGACTTTTACTTGTAACAGAGTCTTCCTACACTATGGTACTTTACTTAAGAACAAAATATAGTCTCGAGTACTTCTTCCACCTCTGCTTAGAACCAGCCCCCAAAAGTTAAGGTTACATGTTATGAATATAATTTAATATGACTGAAGTTGTATATCAATATTTTTCAAGTTTTGTATTTTATGTTAGATGTGGAGCCCTGAGAGATTAGTTCATTGCCATGTCATCAGCTATTGGGCATTCTTTTAATAAACAAAATAATAAATAAACATGATGCTGTTAATCCTAAAACTTGTATCCATATCACTTTTTGAATTATCCACCTGCAGTGAACAGAGAGTCTTTAGGTCTACATCCTGCACTTAAGGAATGTGCCCACTTGAGGGCGATGTCACACAATAGACATTACATTATGATTTGAGCTGCAGCTGCCTTTTTAGCTGCTCCATGCATGTTTATATGCCATCATGGGGATGTTTTGAGTTTCTGAATTCATTATCGAATTACACGATGACATCCCACATTTAGATATTTAAGTATATGTTGCCTTACAAAAATGGAAAATGGAATGATACTTTTAACCTAATCCATTGCAAAATCATTTATTTGATTGAGGGACAACTGCAGAAAACATAAAGCTCGTCATCACAGTTTTACTTTTCCTGACCAAGCACTGGTACCTTTAACACCCCAGAGGGATACGTCCTCTACATCTCACTCCACAAAAAAAAACTCCAAACACTGAGCTGAACATGTGAGTTTATCTTTGCCTGATGTTTAGGGACGAGTAATACTGCTTCATGTGGTGAAGATGCCGGTCACTTCAGAGTCATACAAGTTGTTCCGTGTTTGCAGAATGAACATCAACCTGGAATATCATCACACAGAAGAGCCTGGAAGTCCATGAAACATTTTCCTGCAACAAGACAGACTCACTGGCACCAACAACAGAGAGACAGAGTGTTGGCAGTGGCACACTCTTGGCTTGAACGTGAGACTGCAAGTGTGAGGAGGAGATATGGATGTTTAAAAAAAAAAAAAAAACATAATGTCAGACAGAGCTCACATTCACGCATAGGTATAAAACAATTGTTTTTGCCACCGAGATCACATGCAATGATCCAAACAGCTGCTTTTGTCTATTCATAATTTTTTATTATGTGCAATATTATGAATTCATCCATTCAGACTGTCAAAAATGCGTGGATCTGTGGGACTAATAAAGGACTATCCTATTTGGTTATATGTCAAATAACAGGCAGTGATGCTGTATGGTTTTGTATCTCATTCATTTAACATTTTATCTTTGAGATGGGGAAGGCAACTTTTGAGGGACCAGGGTTAGCTAGATTTTGAAAGTAACCAACTAAATCTAAGCCTGAAAGTTTCCACATAACACATTGAAGCACTCAATGAGCATCTGCTTGACAAGTCCACAAGAGTGTGGGGCGGAGGTCAGTGATACGAATATCAACTCATATCTCATCCGCTATCTATATAGTTTATTGTTGCCATAGGGAAATTAGTTTTGGAATTAAATGTTTCACATAACACATTGTTTTATCATATAATGCTATCTGCCTCCATAGCCTTATAATAAACAATAATCCTAGGAACAAAAGAGTGTATACTCAAACAGATCCCAATACATGTATGGCACACATTTCACAACTAGTGAAAAGAACAACACATTGCACAACCCCTAATCATATCATCAATCACTTGCACAACCCTTGACCAACATCATTTACAGCTTTTATTGGGGTAGGCTGAAATTAATTTTTAAAGCAGTTGATTTTACATTATGGTTCCTCTTTATCATCTGCCATCTGGTAGGAGCTCATGGACTATATGGGATGGATCAAAACATTATTTCTGAGCTTGCCTGAGAGTAGACTGCTACTGCTAGTATCTTGAATCAAGGCACTGATGTGTATTCATCAGCGCAAACGCATACAAATCAAAAGACAATGGTTCACATGAAATTGGAGCTATTGAAAAAACACTCAAATGAAATAAAAGAGGTCTGTCCCATGATGTAGAAATACAATGCTACATTATTTTGGAGTCATTGGGTCACATGACATGGAAACAAATTTGAAAAATGTCTGACAAACATGAAAAAAACTGCAGAATTTTTCAAAACAATATTTATTGAAATGTAAGAAACACTCAAATCCAATAAAAAGGGGTGTATTTTCTGTCCCGTGTCATAACTGGAATGGTTTGGAGTCAATTGACACGAAAACTATTGAAAGAATCAACTTGTGATACATTCGTAATCAAAATTGTGTGCCACATAAGACACATTTAAAATACTTGCATCATGATTTTCACTAATATATGCAAGTTTACAAGGAGAAATTGAAAATAAGATAAAACATACCATGATATTGTGGCATTCAAATGGTAATTTATTGATGGTCCCAAATGAACCCTGTGGCTAAGAGGAAATGCGTGAATGTAAGCTAACTGTACTTTGCTGAAAGCCCAGTGTTAAAGGTGAGGGATAAAGAGTTAGGGTTAGGGTTAGGGTCATCCTATCATTTCATGCAGGCCAAATGAATTGTTCTGAAAGGCGTTTTACAGGCTTGTGACAGCCATAGACATCTAATCTATTGATTTGGGAGTATAAATATAATCTCAATAAACACAACACAAATTGCTTTTAAATTAAATGGCCTTCCCTAGCTTTAAACTACGTTGTGGAAAGAAACAGGTGACAGAATCTAATAAAGAAGGAAGTGGGAATCAAGCAGAGCTGAAGGCTTTACAGTAACATGAAGGAGCAGGGAAAGAATAAAAACTGATGAGGGAGTTATGACTGTACCGCTGATTGACATCTTACAGCTTGACTCAGGGTTGAACAGCCTTCTTTAACATGTATTGTACATTGGGGGGTATTTGCTGTAAGAGCCATCAGGCACAAACCAAAAAGTGCTACCAAAGACCATGGGTCACTTTATATTTCGAAACAGAGGTTCTAAGGAGATATTGCCTGTTACGTCCCCACTAAGGTCTAGGGGACCTGGAGACAATAACATACCACCAATACAACTGAGAGAGTCAGCGTAACAGTTGACCAAAGGTTTATTTTGTAAACCCAGAACCGAACAGACATATAACTGAAACACTCTGTTGGTGAGGAGGAGGAGGAGTCAAAGGATTGTGCCAAACAAAAGAAACAAGCATAACAAAACCAGGCCTATCTCTACATCTATCCTTTGAAACAAAAACTCAAACAAAAACCCTCACTAACTGAACTACAAAGACTTTGACAAAACAATATACAGGGGTGGCAACAATCCGCTAACCTAGTGTGTCTAAACATTAGTTAGCTACGTGGTGAGAAATGTACAGGGTACCCCAGACTTACCTAACTCCTCCACCTCTCAACACACACACTTTCAAAAAGGTCAGACAATACAAAGAGAATGAGTTGCTAAACACTGCAGGCTCCTTCATCAGCAGCAGGCCCAGAGTGAGAGAGCGAGAAGACTTCCTGGCTGCCTCCTTTATGGTCGGCCCTGGCTGCTGATAGGCCAGCTGAGGGTGAGAGGATCCAATCAGCCATCAGACTCAGGTGCACAGGCAGATACCGATCAGCTGCTGATTAGCTGTGCAGAAGACAGGGAGAAGAGAGAAACACAGGAGGTGAAGGAAAACCACACAAGTACAGCCTGCCTGGCACGTAACTTTGCCAAACTTATGTCAAAAAAGGAGAAGACCTGTTCTGATACTATACATTTTTTCTTTGCAAATATAAATGAAGTATAGTCCAGAAAATCAGCTAAATGTCAGTTTTTAGAATATGTATAAGACACTTAATTGTGTGTGTGTGTGTGTGTGTGTGTGTGTGTGTGTGTGTGTGTGTGTGTGTGTGTGTGTGTGTGTGTGTGTGTGTGTGTGTGTGTGTGTGTGTGTGTGTGTGTGTGTGTGTGCTTGTGTGTTCGCAGTGAGTAAATGGTAAATCACAGAAGGACTCTCATTCGTCTGTTTCCCTCGTGTGTCTCATTGCTCTCAGTCAGAGGGACTGATGTGTGTGAAGGAATCAGAGCGGATATAACTTTTTTTCTTGTTGTCAGCATTTAACAGCGTTTCTCTGTATATCTGCATGCCCACATTTCTGAAAGAAGTGTACACTGTGTGTTTGCGTGTGTGTGTTTGCAGTGATGGTGGTGTGTGAAGGGTTGTGCTTTAAAGATAGTGAGTTTAATTAAAGATGAAATAGCTGATTATTAATTGATGGAAGGTAGACTGTTCCGTGATGCTGCAGTACGGGGGGTTGACTCTCTTTTCTATGTGGAAAACCCATTTTTATAGCTAGACTTGCTTTATCGTCTTTTTTCCTTTGTCTGCTGTCATTGCTTTATAACTTTGTCTTTGTATTCATTGACTTGTTTAAAAAAAAAAAAAAGTATTCTAATTGTACTGTTTTGTCTTTCATCATCACCATTGAATCTTTTATCCAAGTGTTTTTTTAGTTTTACTCACATTTTAATTAAAACATCTTGCTTTTGTTTGGCCTCACTGTTTGTGCAATGGCAATTTAAATGTTCCAATGTCCTATATCCTTTGCCATTACTTCACAGGAGCGTTTAGAGTGATCCAGACGCAGACACAAACAGATGATTTCCGGTCTTTTGCTGCAGTTTAGAATGATGTTTATTTAGCTTTACATACCAAGGTTTAATTATGCTGTGTTAAAGGTTGTGGTATCTGCCGGGCTGGTGGAATCGGTGTCCTCGTCCTCTCCGGTCACCTAGTACAGTGGTTCCCAAACTTTTTGTGCCCAAGGCACACCAAAGGACAAATAAAAATCTCAAGGCACACCTATTGTGCAAAATAGCCCTTATAACACGTGTTATCATCATAGACTGTATGCTTATCATTCATATCAGTGGCGGCGCTAGGGACTGGCTACTTGGGCTCAAGCCCCGGATGTTTTCTGAAAAGCCCCGGATGTTTTTTTTAAAAAACGTCTCGGGAGTAATGTGCAGTACCGGAGTCCACCAGAGAGGCAGCCACTGTGGGACATTAGCCTGCGTACTGCGTAGCCTGCCCTGAAGAAGAAGTGATCCTTCCTAGTGCCTGACGAGTTTTAAGCTAATAGCATATACAGTTATGGATATTAGAAAGTTATCGTCATCGAAGCAGGCCACAAGCTGCAGCAGCAGCAGTATCAGCAGCAGCAGTATCAGCAGCTGACAACAATGTCATCACCAGCAGTCAAGAAATGGATGATGTTTCAGGTTTGTTAATCTAATGGTGATATCTGCACTCTGGCTGACTGAGTAAGAAGTGAAAAAGAGTGATGTAACGTTAATGTTATAGCTAGTAAACATGGAGTAACCACACTAAGTATACCCTTATGTTAGTATGTATACAGAACATGACTAAAAATTATCCTAAGATGTAACGTTAACCCTTCATAACTCAGTCTACTTTCAAGACACTAAAATAACGTATTCCAATTTTTATTTTGTTTTCATGCGTGTAATTATACCGGCTCTCATTTCAGTACACATAACAACAGAACTGACAGGCAACCCTCTGAATCAGACTCCGATTGGCTGTGACTGCATCCACTCAGAGTGTCCGATTCAGAAACGTGACTCTTACGGCCCGTCCACACAGCGGCATGCGTTGAAGCTTCCAACGCTTCTGCCCATTCACTTTGAATGGGGTGACGTCACTTTTAGCCGAACTGCATCGTGGGAAGCGATGCGGAGCGTTGCTGGCGTGGCTCGCTGCAAAAGTTGAGCAATGCTCAACTTTTGACGCCTCGGCAGAAGCGTCAGCCAATCGAATCATATGCCAGTACAAGCTCTAGCCAATACAACCGCTGCTTGTGTGTCAGGGGCGGGAGATTCATGTGATTGGTTGTTGGTCGAGTGTCAGACCCCGCCGGCAAGCGTCAACACACGCCGCTGTGTGGATGGGCCGTTACACTCTTTACGTCACAAACAAAGATGGTGGATGAGAATAGATCTATAAAACGATAAGCAATGCGCCAGAATCAAAGTGAGACTATCCGCATCCTTTAAAACTCTACGCACATTCGTTTCACCTTAATAAGTAAACGACTATTTGAGTGAGTTAAGGCATTAGTTTGCTTCATTAAAGGGTGTTAATGAGTGTTTTCCAGTGCCTTTTGTCCGCTTTAAGGTGTTATTAAGGTAGGGTTAATGTTGCTCTCAAAGTGCACCAGATTGATGCTTTCAACTTCAATCTTTAAAAAAAAATCTTCCAGGGGGAGCATGCCCCCGGACCCCCCGAGAGGAGGCGACGACCCCCCTAAAGGATGTTCGGTCCACCCCCCACTTATAAAAAATAGCACTGTACCCCTGCACCCCCCCCCCAACCCAACGACTCCTGGGCTAAGCCCCGGATCTCCTACAATCCTAAATCCGCCTCTGATTCATATCATGTAAAATATCTATAAATGTGCATAATTATTTACTAATGCCAAATAAAATGTGACAAAGACAACTATATTACTCATGAAATATTTATTAACGAAATATTTCAGAAATTAATTTGAAACTTTATCAAATTAGGCTTCATCAAAGCAGCAACACACTCATTTAAACCAGACAGGTCACAAAATTAAAAATGAGGCAAAGGAAACTCAGCAGAAATTCAGCACAGAGAACTGTCAATGCAAGGAAGCTGCATTGTCCATGGTCCTGAACTACAAATTATAAATGTAACATTTCAACAATCAGCATTGAAACATGTGCTATTGTAAATATTTTGCCGACTTACAAATTAGTGAGATACATGTGCCTGTCGGGGCGCGCAGAATTTTGTAATCCTTGGTGGCACTGAGGAGAGGGCCACTCGCAAGTCCTGTTCAACAGCGAGCCGTGACCTCCTGTTGTTCTTCATGTAAATCAGAGTAGAGAACGCCAACTCCAGAGATGGGGTCGTTACTAAAAAAAATGTAATATATTACATATTACTTTAAAAAAATATATATATTACACTACTTCGTTACTCTCTACTCGTTACTTTACTCGCCGAGCACGTACGAACTGCGCATGCGTGAGTGGCAATAACTCTCCTTACCAGCAGGCGGCGGTAGTATGTATTTGTCATTCAAAACAGGCAACAACCGGAAGACAGAGAAGAAGAACAGACGACGTGATATAAACAAACAACAAATAGCGTGTGCGGTAGCTTCACCTTAGCATGTGTTCGTTGCAGGTGTGTGTTGAGGTTTGACGTGGTGTTTACAGCAGTGGATAACAGCTTCTGGCCTGGACACAGTTTGCACCTCACCGTCACATTCCTGTCTATTCTTCGGACGAACTCAAAATAATGGGCATACCTCCACCCCTCGAAAGTTATCGCTGTACAGCCATGTTTATGCATGTGGAGATGTGGACGCGCAAATCGCGCAGATTACGTACATATAAACCTACAAAGTACTGATATAGTACATTTAAAAATAATTATTTTTGTGTAGTTGTATATTCACAGTTGCCAACTCTCACGCATCTGGCGTGTGACACACGCTTTCACTCTCAATCTCACGCTCTCACGCTGCCCAAACTATTCTCACGCCAAAAACAAGATGAACCGGCGATCGTTTTTGGTTGGTTATTTACAATGTTGAGTTGACAGCTGCTCAAGCTGTCGATACGCTCCCGCCCCACCCCCACCACTCTAAACAACGTTAACAGACAGCAGAGCAGTGGGAGCCGGTTGGTCAATCCCGACCCGTATTGCGCATGCGAAGATCTAAGATCCAGTAGAAATGATAAAAAGTAAAAGTCTGCTGCTTGTTCTACTAGGCCAAAATAGAGTCAAAGAGTATATGAGAGTGAGAGTGCGTTAATTAATATATTTGGCAGTTTGGAGTAAGTCTGTAGATTTGTTTGTGTCTGTGTGTTTCATGTATAGGCCTCTCACGATAATTAATTTTGTTGGATACATTTTCCCGGAAATGATTGCGATAAACGATAATATTGTCGGCACCGTTGTATGACCATTTTAGACCACTGACATAATGATAATATATAATAATAATTCAAGTACATCCTTTCAAACTGCTAGTCACATCCTCATGTAAATGGAAATTTATCGAGGTCAGAAAAGTTATGGAGTTTATTTTTATTTATCGTACGATAAGTCAATGAATTGTTTATCGCGACAGTCCTATGCACACAATAAAACAGTGGGAACAAACATGTGTTTGACTTTCATTAGTGAATGAAATGTTGTGCCCTTTATAGTCTGTGTCCAATATTGTGTATTTGTATATATTGTATATCATATATAGGCCTATCTATGCTAAGGTCCCGCTACTGACACGATAGCAGTCATTTAGTGCGCATATGTGTAATTAAACCCATGATATCAAAATCTTACTCCAGCCAGGTACCCAAAGTTGGCAACCCTGGTATATTGCAATAATAACGTATGGTTGTCACAAAATCCCACGGCACACCAGTGTGCCGCGGCACACCGTTTGGGAACCACTGACCTAGTATGACCCCTTTTATACACCCAGTGCAGCTAACTCCCGCCACCAAGTGTCCAAAATAGTATTGCAGTATACATATAAATAAAGTAAACTGAGACACCAACAACACCCATAAAATGGCTCCTACAGTTTGTCTCACTGCTCTTATAATGCTTTGCATCCTGTCTGCTCCTTCAGTACGTTTTAAATGTGCCATATAAATAAAGCTGTTATTATCATTACTAACACATAAAGAGAAAATGTTTAATTTTTTAAGAAACTACAACAGCATCATAAAAAAGAAAACTTGTTGAGCTGTAGATGCTCAAATTCAAACACTGGTATGAGAGAAATGCATATTTCAATTATTTAAATGTGCTAATCTTTGTTGTACTATCTCTTGGCCAATGTGTTTAAAGGTAGAAAAAGTGAGACAATCCTCCTGATATATTTGTGTTTTTCCTGAACCCTCAACTTGTCCCACTCTCCTCGCTTCATCTCAAAGTGCCGAAGAGGCCTCAGAGACTCTCCTGTATGAAAAATGGAGCAGCACAAGCTTCTTCTACATCACACTTTCTGTTACCAGGAGATTAGAAAGTGAAGGTGGAGCACTTTGGAGAAGACACTCTTCCTCTGGGCATCTGTACCGGAGCTGTAATCTTCACCAGAACAACACTTGGAAATTATTTCCTTTTGCACAGCGCAGAGAATAAAAACAACAACAAATCTTTCACAGTCGTGGCGCTAATGAAATGATCCCTCAGATAGCTGAAGTGTAACTGAACATTGTTTAGATGAGGGTATGTTTATTTAATGCAAATGAATAATTGGGACAAGAGATGTCATGTTATTTATTTATTCATTCTCTCAGTAGTATATTTGATAGAACAGTACAAGCCTCATTAAATAAGATTATATAATATAAATACAAATAAACCGATGCTACAGAAAATTCATTGGGAGAAGAACATATATATATTATATTAATGTAAAAAAAATGCATAATAAAAACGAAGTCAAATAAATAAATACAGAAAATATTCCTTTAGTCATTGCTATGGCTATATTACTATAGAAATGCATCTTTTTAAAAGGAAAACTGAAGAGGGGTATGAAGCTAAGATAGCAGGGCCAGCAGTACACTGTGTTCTCTCAGGAGCACTTTTGTTTTCACTCTAACTGGTGAAGCGAGGTTAAGGGTCACACATGCACCAGGAGGTAGGAAGCAGGAGGCAATGGGGGAGCTCACAGTGGGGAGTCCTGGCAGAGGAGGATCTCCAGCTCAGTGCGGTACAGCTTCCCTCCATCAGACAAGGCCATAATGCTCCTCTTGTAGTCCACGAGTCCTTTTGAAGGGTCCACGTCCTGACGGGAACAACGCGAACACAATCAGTGGGCACAGAGTGTACTTTGGATGGCAGAGACATACAGTACAGTGCAAAGGCATT